CCCTCCCTCCCTCCCTCCCTCCCTCCTTCCTTCCTTCCTTCCCTCCCTCCCTCCCAAGGGCTCTCTGTGCTTGCCAAGAGGGGTTGCCTCTGTGACTTGCCTTGTGTCCAAGAGACTAGCAGGAGGCATGTGGGCACCAAGCATGCCAGAGGCACACCAGGTGCGGCCAAACTCTGTTGGGGGACGAAGCGGGCACAGTCACACGCATCCTGGGATGTTGTAAACAGCTTCCTCTCTGCGTATCCTTCCTCTAGAAACGGCATGACTTCGAAGAATTCCTCGCACATGTTTCATTGCTGGGTGTTTGGCTTCTATCCACCATTAATGCGAAACAGCGTGGAAACTCCTTGTCATGATTCAGCCAGCTGCAAAAATGGAGTGGGGGGGAGAAATGGGCTGCTTTGTGGAGCCCCAAGGTGAGGGAGCACTGGGGCCTTGGCATTGGAGTTGCCCCTTGACAGGTCTACTTCGACTCCCTGAACTGCAGAGGGCCCTGCTGAAGGCAGAAGGGGGGAGGCCGCAGACCAGAGGAAGCTGCTACCTGTGGCATCTGTCAGAGACCCCTTAGGACCCGTTGGGATATTCCCCTTTCATCCCAAGAGGTGCTGGATTCCACGTTCGTTTTCCATTAATGCCATCTAATGGATGGGTATTCTCTCTCTTTCCCTGCTGACTGTGCCGGAGCATGGAGGCAAGGAGGAAGGAGAGGCTAATCTCGCCCGTGTCTTCTTTTCAGCTGGACCCCGAGGCCAGTGAGGTCTTGAAAGAGCTGCAGACCAAGCTTAGCAGCGTCCTAGATGAGCTCAGTGTGACCTACAGCGCCAGGTAAGGCCACGTTCCTGTGCACTGGGGCCTCATCCTGCAGATCCACGGCAACGGCTCACCCCTCACCTTTTCCTTGAGGCCTGGAGAAGACCTGCAGAAAAGGGAAGCTCATGGGCTCGGCTGGAGAACCGTACCGGTGTTTGCGTGGCTCTAAGGGGCAGATTGTTGGGACCAAATGCTGAGGGGTTGGGGGTTTCTTTAAGCCCGACGAAGCTTTGAGTCTGCTTGAAAATAACTTTTATTTAGGGGTGGCTGTACGATTAGTTTTAGTCTGGATAAAGTAGATGGTTTATAAGCAGCTTTTTAAAGCAGTGCTGCATTATGCATTCGGTGGCTCTGGTTTTGTTAGGCATTATGATACTGTTTCCAGTTTTAGTAATCTGACTTGTAAGGGATTTTCCTGGAAGTCAGATTATTAATATATTCCACGGATAATAAGTGAGATTTCTAGATACAAAACTCTTTCACTTTGGCATCAGTGGGAAGGGAAGGGAGGATGAAACAGGCACCTAGAGGTGACAACGATGGTGGTGAAGGAGAAGGAGAAGAAACTTTTTTGCAAAGGGCCTTCAGTCCAAACGGTCCTAGGAAACCTCAACCAAGGCAGCCTCCCAGTTGGGATGCACCCCATCCTGGGCGGCCAGGTCCCTCCCTCAGGAGATCATCCGGCTCGCTCTGTGGCAGCCGGGGCCTGGGGAGGTGGAAGAAGGCAGCAGCAAGGGGCCCCAGCGCATGAGACGGGCAAGGAGGTGATGGCAGGCAGGAGTAGGGGACATCTTGTGTGTCTACCCGTCCGTCTGTCCTTCCTTTCCTTTCTGGGTCCTCTTAGTTTCCAGCTTCTCATTGAGGAGTGTGTGGCACAAATGAGCACGGAGTTAAACCGGCTGAGAGGAAACGGAGCAGTGGGAAGCAAAAGCAGCAGCGCCCTGCAGGCCGAGACTGTGCTGCGCCCCTTGATGGAGTTCCTTGACAGAACGTAAGCACGGGAGGCTGCGATCTGGCACGTTCAGCAGATGGTGCCACAGCCAGGCAGAACAGGGGGAGGCGCCGATGCCAAGCCTGAGGCCTGTCCAGCACCCGTCCTAATGCCTTGAGCCCTCTGGATGAGACCTTCCTGCTCTTCCACCCTTCCCTTCATTGCTCCCTCCCCACAACCCTCTGGCTTGCGTTGGGTGGCAGGTCCTCCAGGCGGTCCCCTGCCCCTCCCGGAGGACTGCGCCTCAGGGTAGAGGATGACCCGGGGTCTCCTGCTAGGAAAAATCACCTGCCTCCCAGAGCAGAGGGTTGGATTGCAAGCGTCCATCCTGCACGGTTCGCGGGGGCTGCGGAGATGAGGGAGCAGCGGTGCTTCCCCTGAGAAGGCCTCATCCAGCGCTCTATGTCAGGGGCTCCCCTGCTTGCAGATGCTGCTAGCTGACACGCACAGAGTGTGCATCTTGGCCCAAGGCTAGAGATGGCTTTGTTTCTTTGCAGCTTAAGCACCTCAGCCAAAATCTGTGAGAAGACCGTTCTGAAGCGGCTGTTGAAAGAGCTCTGGAAGTTGGTCCTGAGCAAAATAGAAAGGCAGATTGTGCTCCCACCCCTGGCGGACCAAACCGTGAGTCTCCAAGCCACCCCCAGCCCATGGGCAGCTCCTTGTTCATTCAGCCGTAAAAACTTAAACATTTGGCCTGCCAACCTTCGCTGCAAGGGAGGCGCTCAGGTATTCAGCCTATTGCACATTAGAAGGGCAGATGTTTAAAAGGTGGAGCTCCTTCTGCAAGAGGAAATAGTGGGTACCCTTCTTTTCCTCTCTCTGGTGTTTAAAGTTGAGGGCTGGTTCCTGTGGAGCCGTGCCTTTCTTTCAGCCAGCTGATGTAGAGGGCCTAGGGAATGGCCTTAAAGGACAGAAGGACGAACCGCTACCAAGGCCACAGTCAGATAAGAGGGGCTTGAGCCCGAGCCAGAAAAATAACGTACGACTCTTAGTCTGGTCTACCTTGTGGGGCTGGCAGTTCCCTCCTGGAATGCTCAGCTGGCAGCCTTGGAGCGCCCTCTCCCTGTTGGCTGCAGGAGATCCTTCGCTTGAGTAGAGGACGGGGAAGCAGCCAGATGGTCCAGAGGTGAGGATGCCCTCTGGAATTGTGCCTCATCTTCCCCTCTTTGGCTTCTCCTCAGGGCCCCCCAATGATTCTCAGTGCAGCCAAAGATTTCAGCCAGTTGTCAAAGCTGAAGGTAAGTGGGTCTGGGCAGCAGAGAGATGCAGAGTGACGCAGTGGCCTCCACCATGGGGCACACTGCGTGCCTGAAGCCCCAGAGGAGGTCTTTATGGTGCAGATTCCCCTGCCAGAGGTACAGCAGGATCTAGAACAGTGCACCACCTCAAGTGCACACGTGCAAAGACATCCACGTGTGTCTCTCTGCGCCCTTGAGGTCTTCCACCCGAGTGATCCATCTGCAGCTCTCCTGCCCCCAGGGCCTTCTCTGCAGCCTCCTTTGCCACTGTCATTGTCTGCAGCAGCAGCAGCAGCTGAGCACTCAGAGGAAGAGCGTGAAGGAGGCCAGAACTGCTGCTTCTGCTGCTTGAGGTAGAAGGGGAACAACACTGTGCCCTTCCGCTGGCGTGGAAGCAAGTTCATGACTGGTAGTTTCTCCCCAGTAAAACAGTTCAAACTTGCCCCAGGTTTGCTGCTAGTGCAGGTTCATCACAGTGAGCAAGGGACTTTGCCCCCATCGCTGCAACACCCGCAGCATGCCCCTCCCACCCTCCCCCTCTTTGCCCTGCTCTTGCCATTTTGAGCTCCAGTCTCCTCCTCAGTTCTGCAGCAGGTAGAAGCTGCTGGTGCCTGCCAGGGTGCGGGACCACGTGTGTGCAGTTGCCATTTTCTTTTGTGTTAATGGGTTCTTTGAGGGAGGGGCGAGAGCCAGGGGGGCAGTCTGGCCAGATGCCTTTGGGAACCCCAAAAATAAAGCAAGAGGCAATGGCCTTCTTTGACATTGTTCTCCAGTAACTATAATTCAGAGATAGCTTGCTCCTGAACTTGGAGGCTGATGGCAACCTTTCCTTCTCCATGAACAGGTCCGTCCGTCTTAGCCTGTGGAGCTTTTTCCTAGAGACTCAGGGCTCTGCATTAACAATGGTGTTCTCTCCAGAGCGGCACAAGTGCCTGTTCTGAAAACAGGGAAGTTAATGCTTTGTTGGAACATCCCATTGCAAGAAGGCTTGTTGTAGGCGTGGCATGGAGGATATGATCAGTAAAGAGTTCCGTGCAAGAAGATGCCCCACCTGACCCACAGAGTTCCTCAGTTGTTGACTGCTGCTGTTTTTTTCAGGACCACGTCATCCGAGAAGAAGCAAAAAGCCTGACACCAACACAGTGTGCAATAATGGAAGTGGTTCTGGCCGCCATTAAGGTAAAGTGGGAGGAGGGTGTGCCCAGCGGGCACAGCCAGGCTAGTCTCTTCTCCTTCCTGTGGGGCAGGAATGGCAGTGGGGGCAGGAAGCCAGTCTGTCCATCTGTCTGTCCAGCCTTGTCAAGCCTCCTGAGCTAGATACCCTAAGGCACCAGCCCAGGCAAGGCTTCCTTCTCTCAGACCTGGTAATTGGTTGACAGGAATTTTAGGAGGCAAAAAGAGTCCACTATTAAAAGATGCAACAAATTAATTAGCTTTCTCTTTTAGTAACTAGAGGAGACTACAAAACTGACTTGGTCAATTTAAAAATGCATCAGCCCCAGCTGGAGGTGAGAAGGTCAGAACAAATTAAGAGCTCAGCAGGATAAAAAGAGTCTTCTTGCCATATTGTGGCTAAGAGGGAGAGAGATGAGGTCTTTCTTGGGGAAGAATCTCTTTTATGTCACCCCCAAACCTCTGCCCAGTTTTCTCCAAGGCTGATTTTAAAAGCTGATCCAACTCATCATCTGGCATCATGAAATCATCCAATGGAAAAACATAGAATTGCCACCTGATTTTGAAAATGTGCTGGGAATAGCAGCGAGAAGTGTAGAGAAAAATGCAGCATCTGTCCTGATTCTTTTCTTTAGCATCAGAACATAACCAATCAGCAGCAAATTTCAGAGGGCTACATACCAGCTTGCATAGCCACTCATTTGCCTAACAGCTTTTCCTTGTCGTGACCTTTTGTTGCGTACCTGAGAGTGCCGTCAAATACCTTGTGTTTCCTTGGTGGGTTCATTTCCAAGCACATGGGGACCCAGTCCACAGGCCATGGGTCCTGGATCATGTGGGGTTGGGGGTTGGGCTAGTGTGTTGTGTAGAAACTTAGATCCAGTCAGTGCTGGGTTGCAGGAAGTTTTGTTTAATGCTAAACAGCCTGGGATTGTTTGTGCTTGAACCATCCTCCCCTGGTCAGCTGTTCATACAAACAGGGATAAGAGCTTTAATGGAGAGTTGGACCCCCTCCCTGCTGCTGGCACAGGGATAGGATCCTGCAAAAATGGGCTCCTCCATCTTTTTCATGCACAGCTCTCTCAGTTTGACCAGAGCATCTGTGAGGGTGTTTCCCCCAGGACAGCGCCTGGTTGAGTCAGACATGTCATGTTAACACTCTGCCAGTTGCTTGTGGCTGTGTACCCTTGTCCTATTTCAAAGCAATCTTTCTGCTTAAGTGTTGTTAGGTTGATATGTTGTCCCTGGGAAAAGCTGGTTTCATATACTTATTCCTGCCGCTGTTGTTTCCTCTGGTGTCCGAGCAACTCAGAAGCAAACAGATCATCTTTGGATGAATCCTCATCTTTTTGCCCTTTTTTTAGCAATATTTTCATGCTGGAGGAAGTGGGCTGAAGAAGAGCTTTCTGGAGAAAAGTCCAAACTTGCAGTCTCTCAAATATGCACTGAATCTTTACACGCAGACCACAGATGTTCTGATCAAGAAATTCATTGATACCCAGACTTCTCAAAGTGAGTGAGTTGGCAAATGCATGAGCCTCTCTTTGGAGTTTCATGGCCAGCAGTCCAAACCTTTGATGCAAGTCTGCAAGACTGGGGGGGGGGGGGGGGGGATGGGGGGGGGGGGGGGGGGGG